TTGGAAACAGTGCCTTCGGATAAATAATTGAAATCTCCAAACTGTTAGTGCTTAAGGAGCAAGATGCTAATTAATGTATATGGACCCAAATTAGCATAAGTCGTGTGTCCTTTAGGAATGTTGGGGAAATGATACTTTCTGTGCCCGTGCAAACACATCCCGTATCATTTATTTTCAGAAATGCTCATATTCGACTGAACACTCCAATCACGAGATATTTCTTGTAGGAGCAGCAGAATGGGTTGTGAGACAAAATACACATTCATTTTCAAAATTGTGATCTCCATTAAGCAGCACATTGGCCTTGTTTTGAATCCTGTTTTTTTCTACTCACCAGCTCTGTGACTTGGGTTGGTTATGATCTTACGTGGACTTTCCTTTCCTTCCTTCCTTTTTTTTTTTTTTTTTAATTTATTTATTTTGAGAGAGAGAGAGAGAGAATGAATGGGGGACAGGCAGAGAGAGAAAGGGACAGATGATCCAAAGCGGGCTGTGTGCTGACAGCATAGAGCCCAATGTGGGGCTCAAACTCACAAACCATGAGATCGTGACCGAGCCAAAATCGGACACTTAACCAACGGAGCCACCCAGGCGCCCCTACTTTCCTTCCTAATAAAGTGAAGTGGCAGTGAGAGTCATAAGCATCTACTTCGAGCATCCAACACAGAGCCTGTGAGGGCAGGTGGGCCTCAGTGTGGTGATGGAGCCAGCTTGCCCCAGCTAGCGAGGGCTGCTAAACACATCTCTTCCCGACTCTGTTCCGTGACATCACGTTGGTAGCCTGCACTCAACCTTAGCCGGGAGTGTTTACTCCCCAGCGTTACAAATCGGAGCCTTTTTTTCCTGCAGAGCTGGATTTTAAACATTTCCTGGCCCACCACCAAATCCCTATTAACCTCTACACCTTCGCCTTTCCCCGTCATCATGCTTGTCATCTGAGCTGCTCTTCCTGCGATGCTCTCCTTCATCCTGCATCGCAATCCCCTGGAGGGCCTGCTACGACGCACATGGCTGGACCCTTCTTCTAAGTCAGAATTTCTGACTTAGTCAGTCTGGAGTGGGGCCGAGGAATTTGTACTTCTGTCCCTGGTACTGCTGATCCCGGAATCAGACTTTGAGACGCTGGTCTCATCGGTCTAACAAACTCAAGTCCACGGTGCAAAGCCCTCTGGGGGCACAGAAGAGATCCACCTTCTGCCTCAGACCACGGCGTTAAAAATTAATGAACGCTTGCATAGTACTTGCACATACACTGTCTCATTTAATCTCCCTAAGTACTTTATGAAGTAATAATCACTATTTTAACCCCCACTTGGTAGATGGAGGAAGCAGGCTCAGAGGGACTGAGTAACTTACCCAAGGCCACACAGCTCATAAGCAGAGAAACCAAGTTCAACTCAGGTCCTCCCACTCCGGGGCCACTGCATTCGTGGTGCACACAGTGTAGCGCTCCAGGGCGAGCAGAGGCTGAAATCCGGCCTGCCCAGCTGTGCACCTGCAGGGCAGGGCCACATCAGCCCAGGAGGAGGGTGCCTTTTCCTTTACCTGCATTAAGGCTCCGTATAGGCTAAAGGTGTTGTCCGAGTCCACGGACATGGAGGAGAGGCAGAGCAAGTGGCAGAGACAGAAAGTGCAGAGGGAGGCCCGCGGAAAGACATTATTTGAACATAATCAGGCCCACACATGTGGGCATGTGGAAGAGGCTTACAAAACAGCTGTTCCTGCAGGAGGTTTTGAGGGCAGGCGTCAGCACGGTGGAGCGAGGGAATCTGGCTGGAGGCAGAGTCACAGATTGTCAGCGATGAGAGCCGGATCTCCTGCCCACCGCTGGCATGTGTGTGGCATGGAAGGTGCCCGGTGGGTGGGGCAATTAGCCTGTATCCCAGGGCGCCTGGCTCTGTCTCTCGCTTTCCCTCCCACCGCCTTTCTGCAATTAGATTGCTCTGAGGAATCACTGCCAAGCCGCTTTGTTGCATCTGACGAGTTTATTAATTTCTTGGGGGCTAATGGGAGGGTGGGTGGGAGATGCATTTCCTGACTAGCGCTTAGGGGCTAATTAGTCTCTTTGCTGTGTCCCCAGAGGTGGGGGGTGGGGGCAGTACACTGCTCAGGCTTGTCAGATCTGGCTCCGGGTAAATCATTTCTATCCCTGGCTTTTGTGGGAACTTATCTCGTGGCTTGGGTAAGATCGGGGAGTCCGGGGCCGGGGCAGGTGGTTCGTGAAGATTGGGTCCCCTGAGCACAGCCGAGGTGGGAAGGTGAGGCTGGGGGGAGCTGTCTCGCGGGCCCTTCGGTGACTATAGATAGGACTCTGAGAAGTTCACTCCTGTGTCAGACATCCAAATGCTGACATCCAGCCCAAGTGTTCTTTATGTCCTTCTGTCTAAATCTGGCCCTTCCCACCCTCAGAGACCATGGGGAACCATTTCTCGCCATTTTGCAGACGGGCCGGATCTATCTTCAAACGAGCCTCCTCCGAGAGGATAGTCGTTTCCGCCTGACTTTGTGCAGGGTCCAAACCCAGGAGAGAAAAGCTCTGTCCGGGGTTCTTGCCCAATGGCTGAGGCTCCTTTCTCTGGTTTGCTGGGCCCGCTTTCATGAAGCACGTCTCGGCGTCCCTACCCAGGGCCCAGCAGCAGAGACAGGAAAGTCTCGTTCTGGGTGTCGGACAGCTCTGGGTTCAAGCCCGGGTACCACTACCGAGTGGATGAGCTTCGGCGAGGCACTAAACCTCTCCAAGCCCCAGTTTCCTTATAAATCAAAACACCACCACTATCCTCAAAGTTGCGAGGAGAGTTCAGAGAGATGATAGAACACATCTAGCGCAGCAGGTGTCTGGTCTCTTTTTTTCTCCTTCCCCTTTGTGCTTGAAAAGCCAGAAGCTCATCCCTCATTCTCCCCACCCATTTCGCCTGCAGAGAGAGGCAGAAGGGGAGCGCAGCAAGAACCTGATGTGGCTGGTCCCTTTGAGAGGCAGTTAGGTGCTCCAGAGACCCAGACGAGGCTCCCTCGCCTTCTGTCCATGTTTCACCAGCAGCAGCAACCTGCTGACATGAGATGATGGCTTCCCCTGCTTCCAAGTACCAGCCCCTAAGCGAGATGCTGGGGCGTGAGCGTAAACTGGCCAAGCCCCACACGGGCTGGTGGGGAAGACAGGCAAGCAGAAACGTGCAGTAGGGCATTGGAAGAGCCAGGCAGGACGGCCACGGAGGCTTCCTTGGGAAGACGCACCTGGGGCTGAAGCTCGGGCCTCTCAGCCAGTGGGTGAGGTGGCCCCAGGACAAGTTGGAGAGGCTCTTTTATTTCGGTGTCAGTTTCTTTATCTGTCAAATGGGACCTCCCGCGTGGACGTGCACGAGACGCTGCTTGTAAACTAGAAATGAATATGCGTATGTCCAGGACCCTTCTGCCCGTGCGGAGGCGGAGAAAGCTGCCCACCCCCTCTTCAAGTGGCATCCTCACAGAGTCTTGGAGAGGAGTTTTAGGGTCATCTGGGTCATCTCCCCTTCGGCAGGTGAAAGGCTCACCCGTGGACACCATCGGTCCTGTGGCTTGGCCTTCCCCTCTTCAAGCTCCAGGCCAGGATGTCAGAGGGGTGATTACTGTTCCCCAAGACCCTCAACCCTCTGGCCCTACGGAGTGGGAGGGGGCGGGGACCAAGGGTGAGATGCATCTTCGTTGTTGTTCAGTTTTCCCCAAGAGGAACCCAGAGCCCAGCTCTGGTGAACAGAGCCACATGGCATCCATGGAACTTGTGACGGTTTTCCAGGGAAGCTGCTGCTGGTGCCTGGAGGTGCCTGGCAGAGATGGATGTGTGCGTTTCGTTGGGTTTCCAGCCAGCTGTCAGCCACATCTCCTGGCTGCCCACTTCAGACACTCGGCAACAGACATGATTTGCCAGGGGCTTCAGCTAGTAGAAATATATTGGTATTTACACACATGCGTGCGCACACACGCACACATACGTATTTATAAAAAGGGTTCCGCTGAGAAAACAAACCATCTGAAAACCCAGTGATGTCGAGCTTAGGTGTAGAGGACTTTCTAGAACGGAGAGCTGGGTAAGTTGCGTACTTTCCCCCCTAGAAGTGAAGGCAGCGGGGAAGAGGGAGGAAAATAGTGTCAGGCTAAATACATTCTGATTATGACCCAGGGAAGGTTTGCTGTTATTCGCGTTTTGTAGATGAGGAGACATGCTCAGAGAGGTTCAGTAATTTTTTGGGGAGGTTACGCATTTGAGGTGCATGCTCCTGGGCCTGGCTGAATAACCTAGCCTCAAAGTGGAGCATCTGTGGTCTTGGTAGGCTCGGAGAAGAAGGCAAGGCACACATTACCACCCCCGTTGACAGCTGGGGAAACTGAGGCTCAGAAAGATCTAAGTAGCTTGCCTGGGTTCTCACAGCCAGCAAGTGAACCGACCAGGGCAAGAGCCCAGCTCGTTCCTCTTCGGGTTCGCTCACTCGTTGAACCCTCAGCGACGTTCACTGAAGGACCTAGTGCGATGCCACTTCTGTCCGGTGTGCCATTCTGATTCTTCTCTGGGTAATCAGAATCACTGAAGGCAGGCTGAAGCGAAGGAGCTTTGTGGCTCATGTCTGCCACAAGATAATGTGATCCACGTGTTCCCTTCCCTTCTGTGTGAGAGAACGTCGCCGAACTGCATTCGGTTCCTGATTTGTTTCTCTGCTTTCCTCCTCTACCTCTCCTAGGTCTTTGCCCCTATCTTCCTGTCCCCTCTCAGATCCCTCCTCCACCTTCCCTGACCCCCTCAACCCTGTGGAACAGTAACCCTGCCCTAATCCCGTCCCTCTTGTCCATGTTCCATATCCCTGCCTCCTTCTGTGCCTTACATATAGCCCAGCCGAAGGCAGGGGACTGGCCTCTCTGCTGCTTCTCAGCGCTTTCCAACCCTGGAGGCCTGCGTGAACTCAGCAACCCCGCTCTCCCCAGCCTCCTCCTTTCCCCATTTCTTCCCAGCCCTCTCTCCTTTGTCTCCTCAGATTGGCCAGTGGCACGTGGCTGATGGCCTCAGCATGGACAGCCGCCTCTACGCCTCCAACATCTCCGACAGTCTCTTCAACACCACCCTGGTTGTCACCACCATCCTGGTAAGCGGGGTGGTCCTGGACCTCCCAGCTGCAGCTCCCCACGGTGCCTCTTCCAGCTCCAGGAGCTCCTGGGGTCCCGGTGAACACAAGACGGGCGCTCTAATCACAGCACCAAGGCCAATTTATGACAGTGTAATTAAACTCGAGTTGCTGTTTCATATGGAAATGATATTTGATGAGTTCCAGAGCAGCTGGGGAAGAGCGATGGGGTGAAGAGACACCACAGTTCGTGCATCACCTCTTCCAGGGGCACCCTGACAGCCAGGGTGCTGTGCATGGCCCAGGGAAGGGAACCGTATGACAGAGAAGCCCAGCAGGGGGCTGGATCTGGTCCACCGGGGTGGCCCCTAGTCTTTCACGGCAGCCTACTTTGCTTGGTGCCGACTGTGTACCAGATGCCCCCCTGCAGTGGACATCTGAATTCCAGTGGGTTTTTATGGCCTGTTTCTTCATTTCCAGATGGTCAAAAGAAAGTTCTCAATCTATAGAGAAAGGGACCATCTGCCTTTTTTATTTGATTCAATTCTCCTCAACAATTACCAAACCCTTCTCCCCATGGATCAGGCACCGTGTTCATTCCTGGAGACACGAAGATGAAGAAGACTCGATCTCCAGCCTCACAGAGGTCATAATTTCGTAGGTGGCCTGGGTCAAGTGCATTCACGGCCAAGGTCGGCTTCTTCCCCTGTGACGATCTCGTGTTTTAAAAGATGTATCCGTTAAACCAACTGCATATATTAAGCGATAATTAGTTTGTTTCTCTCCCCTCACTCTCCCCTTTTGACTAATCAAAAGCATATTTCCCTGCCTGGCACAGTATCTTATCAGCAGGAGATAACCAATGCTGCCACACTGATATAAGTCCAGCCCAAAGCAGAGACTCGATGCGCTGAGTAGTCTGCTCAGCCTTATCACTGCTACATGCGCAAGGTCTGCAAATGCGTCTGTTTCTTTAGGCTTTTTGAGATAATGAAACAGCTCAGGGACCTCCATCACTTCATTCATGAACTCCTGGGCCACAGGAACCCTAGACTAGAATTCTTGATCTGCGGGCAGACTGGGGTAAAAGTCAGGAAAAAGGTGCACAGCTAGCCCTATGGGGGTTGAAGGAGGAAGGGGTTCCCATGCCATCAGGAAGGTTAGCAAAGCCTCCCGGAGAAGAAGGGACACAGAAGACAGGCTCTAAAAGACAGGGAGAGATGGGGAGGGAGAGGTGAATGAAGGACAGCATTGTGGGCATTTAGGAAGTGCTGAAAAGGGCCGGTTTTCCAAGAAATGGGCATTGGTGGAGGGGGGAACAGGAGGCCAGAAAAGCAGGCTACGGTGCTTAGGAACTTGAATGCCACACTGTTGAGTGTTCCCTTCATGTGAGAAACGGAGTCACTGAATGTTTTCATTCGCTTTTTCAGTGAATATTTGGGGGACGCTACTGTATGCTGGGTGCTGTTGTGGGTACCCAGGAATAGACAGAGCTGAGATCACAGGCGTCAGTTTGGACCCATTGAGCCAGGGAAATCTGAGCAGAGACCTGACGGGGAGAGGTGAGAGCCAGGTGGCTGTCCGAGAAGGAATATTCCAGGCGGAAGGAGGAAACGATTGGAGCGAAGGATGGAGAGAGCAGTTCCAGCTCCCAGACTATTGGTCACTCCCCGCTGTCAGCTCCAGCTTTAGCCTCTCTGAACCAACCTGGAAATGCCAGAAAGATTGGAGAGTGCTGGTATCACCACAGCCCCTGAGGGCTCCTAGAGCCTGGCTGAGCTGGGCAGTGGTGAGCTGCGGTCCTGGCCAAGGGGGGGGGTCAGCACACAGCATCACTGTTGGGACCTCCCGCCCGCAGGCTTCTGGAGTCCCATGCTGTCCGTCCCCAAAGCCCATGCTCTCACTGAGGCCCATTTACCTCTTTCACCTGAGCACGACCTCCTGAGAGGCTCCCTTTCTCAATTTCTCAGTCTACCCCCCATACTCCCTACCCCTCTGTCAGCGTGGTCTTTCTGAAATCAGAATTATCCTGTTATTCCGTCACTTACGATCCTTCAGCACTGCCCAGGACCCTCCACCCCTGCACTCGGAATAGAAACCCCTCATAATCAAGCCCAGCCTGCCCTACCTGCTTCCTCTCCACACAACTTGGGATCTAGCAGTACAAGACTGCACGACACTTCCTCACTGTATCATGCCCTTCCCTGCCTCTGCACCTGCTGTTCCCTCAGCCCAGAATACCCTTCCCCCGAAATCCCATTTCCAACTGGAAATGCCTCTGCACCCACCCTTCAGACGTCTCTTCAGATGTCACTTCCTCCGTGAAATCTTCCCTAACCTGACTCCTGCCCTCCCCTGTCTCTAGCATTTTGCCCACACCTCCGTGGTGGCATTTCTCCTATCAGACGTTGTTGTTTACACTCTATATCCCCTTCTAGAATGGGAACTCTCAAAGATTGGGGTTCCTGACGCAAAGTAGGAGCTCAGCGATTAGAATTTGAATAAAGGAGTTCCTTCCTACAGGGTAGAAGGATGTCCCTTAAAAGCCAACGCGAGTTTGAGAGGGAGATGGGGACATTGCTGGGTTGTACTTCCTGCCTCTCAGGGGCTGGAATTGGACGGTGCCGAGAGCTTTGGCACAGACCCACGGGGACACGGAGACCACAGGGGTGTGTTTCCAGATGGGGAAAGTCAATCTGACTCTGTGTGTGTGTGCACGCACGCATGTGGTTCACATATGCACACGTGTGTTCATCAGCTGTGACAGCAGGGCACTTTGGTGTCGGGTGACGTTTAACAACATGGTAAGTCTGATCCGGACACACATCTTTTCTTGTGCCTGTGTGTCTAAGATGGCTGCTACAACTCTCACGGGGAACGATTATCTTAATTTAGTCCCCGGTGACCATTTGTGGGTTATCCTTGGCAAACAGTAATCCTGAATGACTCACCCCTTAACGCTCAGCACATATCCCTGTCGCCTCCTGTTCCTGTCCGGGTACACTTGGGACATGTGAATGATTTATTGGTTAATAGCAAACACACAGAATTAGCCGTAGCTCTTAACTCCTTGAGCGCTTACCCCGAGTTGAACATTTTGCCTGTGTTCCCCTTTCCCTTTTCCCAACACTCATGCCAGCACAGAGGGGCTCTGGCTCCAAGCCAGCACTCGGCCCCCACATTTTTCAAAGTGCCGGGGAGCCCCAACCTTCCTGACAGTTTGGCTTTCCCACGTTTCCTCCCTCCAAGATCGGCTTTTTTTTTTTTTTTTTTTTTTTTTTTTTTGGATGTTTATTTTGTTTTCAAGAGCGAGTGCGCGCAAGCAGGGGAGGGACAGAGAGAGAAAGAAGGAAAGACAGAATCCCAAGCAGGATCTTCACCCTCTGTGTAGAGCCCAATGCAGGGCTCGAACTCACAAACCATGAGATCATGACCTGAGCTGAAGTTGGATGCTTAACTGACTGAGCCCTCCAGGCGCCCCCAAGATTGGCCTTTTGTATGTTTACTATGAACGTGCCCGTGAGTGTTAAGTTAATTTGAGAGTAGAATGTTTCTGGGAAAAGAATTTCATGATACTCCCTGGGATAAGTAAAGGTAGCCTGAGATGTTGCCAACCCAGGGCTGGAACCCCCAGCCAAGCCCTGTCCTGGCATTGTGCATTCACTCAGTCCACAAGGGCCTGGTGCCGGAGCCAGATAGGGGTACCAGAGAAGGGGAAGAGTCCGTCCAGGCCCCACTTACATTTTACCTGGGAGCATGGCCTAGAGGATGACTGGGCCATGTGAGGCAGTGAGAGCTCCGAGAAATGAGTTGGCATCAGAGGAGGTGATGGGACCCCCAAGCACAGAGGTGAGTTAGGTTAGGCGGGAGAAAGGGAGGGAGAGCAGCTGGGGCAGAGAGAAAGCCTTGAGTGGAGGACAGCAGGTGTGGAAGACAGGAGACTGGCCCACCTCATGGACATGGCAGTGAACTTGGCCATGAAACAGAACCAGGCCACCTTCGGCACAGAGCTCCCTCTCCCTGACAAACAGCCTTCTGCCTTCTTCTCTCCTACTTCACACTCACAAAATCACCCTCCTGTACCCTCCCCTCATGACTTCTGGGCTGTCTGACTCTCAGTCCTCCCCAACCCTGAAGCCCCTTCTGACCTGAGCTCAACAAACCAGTGTCTCAGCACTTGTGTCTCTTAGCTTCTAGCACGATCTCCACCTTGATGCTCAGCCATCTCATCTCGTGTGGGTCCCAAGCCCGGTCGTCCTCACCATCCCCACTCACAGCTACCCATCAACGGTCAGCCTCCCGACTTCCTCTGGGCCTTGGTACTCCCTGGGCCCACGTCTTACCCCTTCCTTGTCATATCCCCTGAGCAGTTCTGCTAAGCCCTTTGCACATCAAGCCTTCAGTCCCACCCCCAGCGTGACTCTGGGGCCTGGCACGGATTCCCTCACCTCTGTCCCTTCCCCTCCTCTCTGTGTCCACGTCCATGTCTCCACCTCACCTACAGGCTTCCTTCCCAGCTTCTTTGTCGCCTTGGCCCTGTCTCTTTCCACTTGGCCCTAGGACCTCACTGCACCAGCTAGCGCCTCTCTTCCTTCTCTGATCTCTCCTTCTCATGGGATTCTTCCTTTCTACCTGCAAATACACCCTGGTCTCTCCCATCCTCAGATACCATCGCCACCCCCTTGCCCACACCCTGCTGCCCCTCCAGCTGCCTCCAGCTTGGGGGATTGTAAGTCGTGCTGTTGGTGGGCCCTCGGGGAATCCTCCAGCCCAGTGGTTTGCAGATGGGGCAACCGAGGCTGGAGGAGAGACGAGGCCAGTAGAAGGTGGGTGGAGAGGCCGTGTGCCTGCCTGCCTTTATCTCCTGACTTCTCAAAGTTCTGGTACCTTCTTTCTCATGCACCTTGCATTCACTCCCCATTCCTGTGGAGTCCTGCCGCCCCGCTGCACCTGCCATGGGAGGGTTGCCAGCAACACCTGGCCAGGGGCCCCCTTCACAGCCCTGCTTCATCTCTGTAGGGGAACGTGTGCACCCTCCTTCCTGAACCTCCTTGCTCCTTGGCTCTCATGGCCCCATTCTCCTGATTTTCAACTTTTCTGGTTGCTTCTGCTTTATCTTCTATAGCTGCTCTTCATTTTCCCGCTGTCTAAGATCAGGGCCTTGTCCTCTTGTCCCCCTTCTGTCCTCCCTCATTTCTTCCCCCGCCGATGGCCTCACATTTCCTGCAGCTTCAGCCGTCCATTCTGTACAGAGGCCTCCCAGTCCCTGCCCCGGTCTTGCCCTCAGTCCACATTTTAAGCATTCGGTCAGGGGTTTCCTCCGGGATAGCCTGCCGGCACCCCAAATTCAACACGTCCCCAATCGTCTTCCCTTCCAGACCATCCATGCCCGTGATGACACCTTCCTCCGGACATCCACCCAGGCTCCAACAGTCTGAGGACCCCTACCCTCTGTACCCCACACCCCACCTGCCCTCAAGCCTGGCCCTCTCTGTGTTTCTTCCAGCTCTCTGCGCTCTATCCTGAGCCAAACTGTGGCTCAGGACTCAGTATCTCACATCAGGAGAGAGTCTGCCCTAGCCCCAAGATGCTCTCTCTTATTATTTAATATTCTTAATCCTTAAGTCTTTCAAACCGTCCATGTTCCCCTACTATGTATGTAGGCTGTGTACCTACCTTGCCCTGGCACCCAAGGCCCCTCTGACCCTAATTTATCCTCCGGGCACACAAGCCATGCTCCAACTGAATGTAGGGTCCGTTGTCCCCTAAAGAGGCCATGCTCCTTCGCACTCAAGATTATGCCCTTGATCTTGCCTTTCCCCTGCCTCTGATGCCTTTCATTAACACCACTCCATCTGTATTCCATCCCCCTCTGGAACCCAGCTTGGGTTTTACCTCCCCCATGGAAACTTCTCTGGAAGTTTTCACCAGAGGGACCCACCCCTCTTCCCAGAGCTCTCGTGGCTGGACCTGCTCTGCCTTGGGTTGCATTTGGTCAGTACATGTTCTTACCTCACCCGCTATATTGTCAGTATCCTAGTATCTCATAATGCCCTGTGACAGGTCCATGTGGAATAAACAAACAGAAGGGAAAGAAAGAAGGGATGGGAAGGGGGTGAGGTCAAATGATGACCTTGCACCAGAGGGAGGAGCTTCAGCTTGACTCTCTGTGCATTGAGACCCATGTGTTCCTGGTAAGAGAAGTGTCTTGAGGTCAGGAGGGGAGCTAATTGCCACCTCCAGAGCAGCCCATCGCCCCAGTCACTTCCGTCCCTCTACCTCGTCTCCTCCCCGACCTCTGCCCCGGCACCCCCATCCCTCGTGGCTGAGACACCAGGGCTAAGATGAGAATGACAGCTGCCCAGTTTTGCTGCAGGAAAACCCGTATTTAATGCTGAAGGGGAACCACCAGGAGATGGAAGGCAATGACCGCTACGAGGGCTTCTGTGTGGACATGCTCAAGGAGCTGGCAGAGATCCTCCGGTTCAACTACAAGATCCGCCTGGTCGGGGATGGTGTGTACGGTGTTCCTGAGGCCAATGGCACCTGGACGGGAATGGTCGGGGAGCTGATCGCTAGGGTAAGAAAAGAACAGGTGGTCTAGACTTGGGGGTGGGCTGGGGAGGGGGAATTGAAGGGCATGAGGTTTGCTGAATGCTCATGAACCATCCACGTATTCAGGCAGTCATGCCTTTTTCGTGTATTTGTCCATTTTTTTGCACAAATCTTTTCCGTGCCGGCACTGAGCCAGGCACTGGTGGTAACCGTTAGTGATACAGACCGCCATGATCCCTGCCCTGTGGCTCTCCCAGTTCAGCACCTGTAACAGGTAATGGAGGTCTTGACCCATTAATATGGATTTGAGGTTTGGGTTTGGGGTCCGTTTTCTGGATACGCCTGGTGCTTTCTGTTCGTTCCGATGATTTTACGGCTCGGTAGCACCCCCTGGCAGAGCTTGGGTGGGCCCGGGAGAATGGAACACACCACATCAGTTGACTTTGACACTGGAGAAGTGCCGGTCAAGGGAGACATGGTAAAATAACAGGGGGAAAAGGTTCAACCGTCAGGGGAGATGGTCACAGTTACGGCTATTTTGTTATTACTTCTCGTACTGCTGTCTGCTGTTGTTAACGTGCTTCTACAGACCCGAGCCAAGGTGCACTTGGACAGGCTGTAGATTTTCAGGGTGAATGTGGGGAGTTGGTTAAAATGCAGGTGAGCATCGTAGAATGTCAGTCATCTGTTTGGTTAGAGCAAGGATATAGAAAGTTCTTCCTGGGGGACATCTCTTGTTTTCTTGGCACACAGTATTAACAGCTGTACAAATTAATTAAGCCGTTACTGTTTCACGGCCCCTATTTCCGTAACCGAGTTTTTGTGGCCGGGTCCTGGTGATGGGCACTCAGTGCAGAGAGCACAGACCTGGGTTCCTGGCACGACCTTGAACCAAGCCCTTTCCCTCTCTGTGCTTCCTACGTGCAGAAGGAGCCCCTGCAGCCTCCCAGTGAATGCCAACGTGCAAGGGCTTTACATACATTATCTTGAATCCTCTTTAAACATACCCTTTAGCTCGATGTTATCCTCACTTTACAAACGAGCCATCTGAAGCTCAGAGGGCTTGAATGACTTGTCTGAAGCCACATAGTTAGTATGAGACAGGGCTGGGATTTGAACCCAGATCTGTGTAACAGCCGGGCCTGCGCTGTTCTCACCGCCGCACCCCACCGCAGCCGGACTTTGATGTCACCGAGCAAGGCACCCTTCCAACTGGGCCCCGCCTTCTCTCCTTCCTTTTCATGCTCCCTCCCTCCACACTTCTCTTCCCTTCTGCCTGACTTTCTTCTTTTCTTCCCTTCCTTCTTTTTTCTCTGCCCTTTATCTCTTGAGTTAATACGATTTTTTTTTTTTAATTTTTTTTTTTTTTAATGTTTATTTATTTTTTTGGGACAGAGAGAGACAGATCATGAACGGGGGAGGGGCAGAGAGAGAGGGAGACACAGAATCGGAAACAGGCTCCAGGCTCCGAGCCATCAGCCCAGAGCCCGACGCGGGGCTCGAACTCACGGACCGCGAGATCGCGACCTGGCTGAAGTCGGACGCTTAACCGACTGCGCCACCCAGGCGCCCCTTGAGTTAATACGATTTTAACCCCTTATATGTACCAGGCTTGGGGTACGAGACACATTTTTGCCGTGATCGTCTTCAAGGATAAAAATATCTGTTGGGTATTAAATAAGCAGTCTTTGATGCCTCATGGTGAAATGGTTTGTATAGACAGGAGCACGAAAAGCTATTTAAGAGCTGAGGAGAAGGGGTGCTTAGGAGATTGCCTGGCTGTGTAGACAGCATTTGCAGTGACCCGGCAGGATACATAGCAAGACTCCAGTGTGAGCTGTTTCAGAAGTGAGGCCTTGCTGGCAAGGAGAGGCTCTCATACAGAGGACTGACCAATCAACAGAAGGCCACAGAAGGCCTAGGGAGCCCAGGGAGCATTTCACAGGGGCAGGGCATAGGGGTGAAGATTTCCTCAGAGAACTGTCTGCTATCTTGATTTTTTTTTTAATGTTTTTATTTAGTTTTGAGAGAGAGACAGACAGAGTGTGAGCGGGAAAGGGGCAGAGAGAGAGGGAGACACAGAATCCGAAGCAGGCTCCAGGCTGTGAGCTGTCGGCACAGAGCCTAACACGGGGCTCGAACTCACACGCCGTGAGATCATGACCTGAGCTGAAGTTGGATGCTTAACCGACTGAGCCACCAAGGTGACCCTGTCTGCTATCTTTGAGATTCGAGCCCACTCTGCTGATGGTGCCCATGCTTCAACCCCCCATCCCCCCCCCCCAAAAAAAACAGATTTTTTATTTGCATTTCACTGCAGAGGTGGAGCCCGGTGGTTAAACCCCAGGAGGCTGAACTGCCATGCCTTTTCCTTCTCTTACGGGCAAACTTGGTCACCTTGAGTCTGTTTCTTCAGCCCTCCTTGGCCTGCCTGGTGACTGGTAGGGCGACTTCAGGGATGTCAGAGTTAGTGTATAGCCAGTCCCCTTATCAGCCCCCTAATGAGCTATGACATGGTCTGGCAGGGAGGGGAGAGGAGCCTGGGACTCAAGGACACGCAGCCACACACTGAATGACTTAGGCAATCAGCCAGGGATCTTCAGCGTCACCCCAGATTGGCTTTCAAGCCCAAACCCTTGCTGCTTTGGTCTCATCTAGACATAGCTACTCATATCAACTAATTAATTACTGAAACCATTAATTCAGTAAATATTTGTTGAATGCCTTCTGCTATTCCAGATGTTGGAGATACAGTCGGGGGGGGGGGACCCCATAAACGCAGACACTGCCTTCATGAAACTTACCAGCGAGAGACATGTTAATGAAGGATCACATGCATATAGCATTTCAAACCGTTAGCGCAAGGGAGGAAAAGTAGAAGGAGCCGTGAGGACGTATCAGAGGGCAGTGGGATCCAGTCTTGAGAGGCGAGAGGGCAGGGGAGGGAAGTCTTCCCTCGGGAAGTGACATTGGAGCTGGTATCTGAAGAATGGGAAGAACGTTCCAGCCCAGAGGCTGTCTGGATGCCACTGGGATTGATTCTGGGCTGGAACGGGTGATGCTGGGACCACCACCTTCCCCAGGTTCAACAATTAGATGTGTCTGCCAAGATGTTCCCTAGGTGTCCATTAGTCCTAAAGCCAAGATCCATCCTGTCGTACAGAAACATTGCAGAGGCTGGAACGGCAGGGCCTTGAATGTCCCAACCGAAGGAAACCTCAGAGCTCACCACATCTAAATCTGTCACTTTTGCAGACGAAGCAAGGGAGGGTCAGAGAGGTCAAGTAACCTGCCAGAGATCACATAGCTAATAAGTACCGAGTCCACATTGAAGCCCTGGGCTCTCTGGCTTCAGCGCTCATGGTCTGAGAGAGCACAGATCCCGATGTTAGACCTAAGCTAAAGTTTCAGTCCACGCGCTTACTGGCTGTGTGTTCTTTGGCAAGTTATGTTATCCTTTCTGTCCCTTCTGCAAGCCTTCAGTGTTCATTGGGAAGGATTTTAAGGATTTAAAATAACACACACACACGGGGGCGCCTGGGATGGCTCAGCCAGTTAAGCGTCTGACTCGATTTCAGCTCAGGTCATGAGCTCACGGTTCGTGGGTTCGAGCCCCGTGTCGGGCTCTGTGTTGTGTTGAGCCTGCTTGAGATTCTCTCTCTTTCCCTCTCTCTCTGCCCCTCCTCTGCTCAGTCTCTCTCTCAAAAAGTAAATAAACTAAAAATAATAATAAAATAACACACACATACAGAGGGTTTGACATACAGGAGGTATAGGAGTTGCCTTAAGTCAGGGCTCCCTAGAAAACTGAGCCCAAGGGGGAAGTTCCCATGCTAATTGAGGGAGTGCACTTCCAAGGCAGCAGAGTGAGGGGGAGGGGAGGGGAGTGGCAGGCCAAGAGGACATCTGTCCGTCCTTATAAAGGCGTACGTCCCTGGGCTGGCCATAGCTCTGCTCCAAGCCCAGCTGAGTGTTCGCTCTTCAGAGAGACCCAGGAAAGTGCCGCCTCACCGGACTGCCCGTAGCGATGGGGAGGAGAATGCACCTGCTGAGTCTCCTCAGCTGAGGTTCACCCCGCAGGATGTCACCTCCCCATGTGCCCCAAACCCCGTGGCCGCCTTCAGACAAGTCAGATCCTGAATCAACAGTGACAGCTCCCCTAATTCAAGCCGCAGCCGATGGGTGTGAGCAGCTGACCCCCTTCCTGCCTGCGGCCTTGTCCAGTGACAGAATGTGCTGCGGATTGTTAGGACACAGCTGCTGTCGCGCCATCCGTCCGGGGGCCACGGGTAAAACTGAGCATGACTCCGTCCCCCTCCTCGCTGGGGGAGCCCGGAGGCGAGCCTTAGCTGGTTTCGACCAGGAGTGATTTTTTTTTTTTTTTTTTTTTTTTAAGTAAGCTCAAAGCGCATCGTGGGGCTTGAACTCCCGACCCTGAGATCAAGAGTCACGTGCTCTATGGACTGAGGCAGCCAGGCACCCCTCAGGAATGATTATTATTAGGCTCCTGGAGGTACACCAGGTTGTGTCTCCGTGACCCCCTCTTGTTCAAGGAGAATGCCTTCCCCCATAGGAAAAAAAAGGAAACTAAGCCTGTCATCTGTTAACAGCTGCAGGTGAAAACAGTTGTTCACAACATCACACTGGGGTAAGCCTGAGATTCCGTGTTGGGGGCGCAGCAGTCCTGGGCCAGTGCATCCGCGTGCACTGTCCACGCCTGTGGCTTTGGGGGCTGCTCACCCACGTAGCACACGTGACATCTGGGGGAAGAGACCGTGTAAAGGGTGAGGCCCCCGGGGTGTGCATGGACAAGGCTACCCACCCGCTTCCCCTGGACAGCCAGCAAGATGAGGCCTGGTTGGCCTGCAGTAAGAGAGACGGAGGCTAGATATAAAGGGGAATCACACCCCACACACAAGGGGCCGATAGCCCTTGGCTAAGGAATCTTTTTCTGTAGACAGTCTGAAGAGCACAACAGCTTCCCGCATGTCTGAGTGACACGGAGTGAAGTACAGAGGCGTGGGC